TTAGGCCACTAATATGTTTGAGCCGCTCTTGATTATACTCCATAACAAATTCATTCATGTGTCAAATAAGGGCTTTAAGTCGTCTATGTGGAGGTGGGGTGTGTTTAGCGTTCTCTTGCGGAGTCCATGTGGCATTTTAGCACACACATGGATGTTTTTGTTAAACAGAAGGGCAATTGTGGTTCAATAGTTAGACGGGAAAGGGCTTTTTGAGCCAAAATATAGTTTTAGGGTATGTTTAAGCAATTTCGAATAATTTAAGGATAGTTTTGGTCCTTTTCCGTGGTCATCTATGTGGAGGTGTGATCTGTTTGGCATGCACATGTGGCATTTAACACACACATGGATACTTCTGTTAATTTGAAGGGTAGGTGTGACCCAATAATTTGACAGAAAGAGTATTTTGAGCCGAAATATAATTTGAGTATATTTAAACTATTTTGAATAATTTAAAGGTAGTTTTGACTCTATTCCGTTTAATATTTTATCAACTCTCGACCAACTAATAGAATTTCACGAAAAACTTAAGTTTAAAGGAAAAAATAAAATATAATTAGTACCTTATGAAACAGTGCTACTTTGATTGGAGCAGAGGAAATAGTAACATATTTCAGTGAATTTTCTATGCTAAATATATAGAGTAATAGTCAAACAATAAAGAGAAATTAAATGTATACTATAGTATAATAATTATTCGTAGTATAGTACTTGGCATACATTTATTTCACCAAAAAATGTAGGTTTAGTACAAAGGAATATCCAAAAAGAATCTAGATCATTGTACAATTTTTTTATTCGTTGAATTTCGTTTAAATCTAACTTCAGATATTACACAATTCATTTTAAAAATGATGATTTTGACATGATATTTTTTCTATTTCTAAATTCGAATTTAAAACCTCTGTCACAATTCAAAGTAGTATATTTATGAGTGCTATTAATGTTGAAATTAATTGTAATAAGAGCAAGTAAATTTTGATTTGGTCTTTGCACGTTTGCTTTGAATACAAACAGGAAAATATATAATTATTTTTAATATATAAATATATAGGCCATTAGACTTGACATTATTCTAAAGATTAGGACAAAATGAATCTTAGTATAAATAAATTATATGGTCATGTTAGAGCTATGGAACATGATTTGTATTCTTAATAAAATACTCTTAGTTGAGTATCTACTTTTTTTAATTAGGAAGTAAGTGAGATTAATTTTAAAATGAGTAGCCTTCCTTTATAAATTTTGTTATAAAGTACCTTAATTGATTGTGATTAGCACAAAGTTTTTAAGGTTGACCTTAGAAGCTATAGTGGAATAAAATACTCATGCTACCTTTTGGTTGCTAATATATTACTAATATTCCATAAACACCAAAAATAATCTTTAGCAATAATTATTGAAAAAATGCATAAGTAGCCCTTCAATTTATGTCCTAAATTCCACAGACACACTTATACTGTACTAAGGTTTTATTACTTCCCTGAAATTATTTTATAAATAATATTCTACCCCTTTTTGGCTTATGTGACACTATCTTTTGGGCACAAGGCGTGTTGACATTTTTTTTTCAAGCTAATGTCACATAGGCCGAAAAAAGGTAGAAAATTGTTTATAAAATAAATTCGGTAGGATAATAAGATATTAATATAGTATAAGTGTCTATGTTCGGGCATAAGTTGAGAGGGTACTTATGTATTTTTCCAATAACTTATTAACAACTATAGCTTAATTGTTGTTAAATATGTATTTTCAGTGGTCATTGACAATCTTTATAAATGTCTCTCATAGCGACACTAAATCTAATGACAATTAATTAATGCTAGTACGATCTTTTGCATTTTTCATTAGTGTCATATTTATTATTTCAAAAAACTATTTTTATTGTTGTGTTCCTACATTTGGAATCAATTAAAATTGGGCTTTAATGTAGGCCCATTTTTAGGCCCATTAGAAAATACCCCATCAATAGAAACAAATGGAGTAGCCAAAGTTCAATATTTTAACCTCTTTTGTTAAATAAAGAAAAGTGCATCTTGGATCGTCTTGAACTTTTTTGACCTCCGCTTGTTTCATTGGCAAAACTTAACAAGTATTATTTTTTCATATATAAAATATAATTTTTCGATGACCAACATTTTGTCCACATAGCTATGCCACTGGGTTCAACAATTGGCAATGGATCAAAATTAGTTGATCTTTTTGTTTGTGTTAATAGCATTATATTGATGGAGAGAATTCTCTCAAGTTTCATAAACAAACATTACAATTAGGTTTACTAGTTTGTGATCTTATTACATAAGAATGTAAAAATAACAAAATACTTGAAGTTAAAAGAGAGTATATTTTCGCGGTCTAAACAGAAACTTGGACCAATATGCGGATTTTACGAGATCAAACCACAGTAAACACCCAAATAAAGCTAAAGGAACACCAGCACAAGCAGCAATGAGCTTTGGCTCCTAACACGTATGATTACTACAGACCAAAAAGAAGGTTGCTGCAAAAGCCAAGAGCATATCTTATCATAAATAGATTTTTCTTTTAGGAAAAAATTTAGGATTGACTAATTCTTTTTCTAGTAGGAAAACGTTTAGGTCTCTATAAATAGAGACATGCTCCTTCTAACTTAATCAGCATTCACAATATAGTCTTAATGACTTTGAGAGTTTTGGTTTGGGGGGAATTTATGGGTCACAAGCTTGATACGTTTTCACTTGTGTGAACCTCCCATGTATCACGTTAAATCTTTGGGTCTTTTGGTATATTTCTCGTTGTCTTCTTACTCGTGGTCTGCATTGCTAGCTTCCGCATTTACACTTGCTTATTTTCGGTCCTAACAGCTAAATATCGAGACAAACAGCATTGTGAGTCCAAACAATAACTTTGGCGGGCAATGACACAAGAAAATCATCTTCAGCATAGCATGATGTGAGAATGGACAAGAACATAATGATGGAAACAATTGAGGTGAATAGTGCCACTGCATCTGATATGACAAATCCATACAAATTTAGCAATATTGGAATGCCATTATCACTGTTATTTACCTCCTGGCACAGTGAATCCAGCAGCAAAGACCATTGTGGCAATCAAAGTTGAAACAATCATACAAGAATTTATTGCAATAGATTGTATTTCAATTTAATTCCTCCCATTCGGTGTAGAAGACTGAAGACTTCCTCTTCACGATATATAACTGCAGTATGAAAAATGGTCTGAATGACCATATGAGATCAGGACGAATGCGAGCAACCACAACAAAAAATCCTACATTTCCCTTTTCACTAGCTCTAATAGTTTATCCTCATCACTTCTTTTACACTCCGTCCGTAGCTTTTCAAGTAGTAAACCAGCTACATATCTTTCCCTTGTCGATCCATTGTTTGAAGCAATTTTAGCACTATGTAAGCATGATATATAATAATAAGCTTGTGTCAGTTAAAGTCCAGTACATCTTAATTGTCTTTTGGCCATGGAAATCACACTAATTAACTTTCTCCGCTGGATTTTTTCAAGTTTCCTCTGCATTCTAAGGAGCTTATAGATAACCTGCCTAAGATTCCGCTGTCTCCTAATTGTAACATCTTACTGGCTAATTCCTTTTCCTTGTTGAATATATATAATGCTACATCTGCAACAAAATAATTAAAACTTAGCGGTATGTATTTATATGATCTGTAGGTATGTATTGAAAAGCAACAATAATATGAATAAACATCACTAGCTATCAGCTAGTTCGTTATGAAAAAGAAGCTTGAGATTAAAAAAAAAAAGAAGTGTTTTGTGTAGCTTACCATACAACTCACTGTGGACTGTGACCCGAAGAAGCTCTAAGCGATCTTGTGGTTGTATCCCATCAAAACTTGTGACATCAAAAAGGTAAAATACCATAGCTTTAGGCCCAAACAAAAGCTGCCAGAGTGATTGGTAATTGTCGTCCATCGCCAATAGGGATGTTTAATAGATTGTTATTCCTTTCCCTCATTGCTTTAACAATTTCAATATACCCTGACGCTGCTGCATGATGGAATGTCGTCTCTCTATATTTATTTTTCACTTCCAACTCATCTGGTTTCATCAGTCTCATTAGCTCTTGCAGAAATCCGGTACTTCTTGCTATTGCTGCAATGTGAAGTATTGTTCCAATACGCGATATATTTTCATGAACAAAGCTCGGATCCTTCTTTAAAATTGGTTCACCAAGCCTTTAGTTATCACTAAAAGCAGCCTGATTAAGAATTACACGTGCAATTTGATGATAAAGTTTCCTGTCTTCTGCAAATTGAATTAAATCAAACACTTGTCAGAATATACATGTTTTATTCAACGGAGTACATAGAGAGATTGTCGTGAACTTACTATGAGATTGATCTTCAATACGACTTCCACAAGTATGAGCATGGGAAGACTTGTTTAAGTGTCTCGACATTTATGTTATCTTGAGAGAGAGAGAGTTGTGAACTGTTTATTTACATATGAAATTAAACACTAATATTAGATTAACATTTCAAGTTTCTATGCTCTCGCAACAGAGCTAATTTCCATTCTATTTATCATCAATTTTCTAGGAGAAAAAATAAAATCAATAGACATAGACTGTGTCCAGTAAACAACTCTTCTTATATTGAAGTTCTAGATACATGTATATTTGGCGCATTTTAAAATACACATAAATAGGGAGAAAGACAACCGAGAGAGGGGGAGAGACAAGCGAGATAGGAGAGAGGTGAGAGTCAAAATGTAATGTTTGATACTAGCTAGATACATGAATATTTGTTACTAGATACGTTTGACATAAGATACAACCAGAGAGAGACGAGTGAGATAGGAGAGAGGCAAACGAGACAATCAATGTATTTCTCATACATGTAAACCACACTTGAATAGAGAGTGTATTTGAAATAAATTACACCTATTGGACACATATATTCGAGATACATGCGTCAGGTGAATAACGTTGATGATAAAGTAGAGGATATCTTTTGCATGAAGCAATGGAATTGTTTTTGCAATATGCAGCATCACTAGACAAAGAATTTCATAATAAATCAAATAATTTGACAATTGAGAAAAGAAACTCGACGTGCTAAAACTATTAATTATTACCAATCCCAAATAACATTGCTGAGAATTTCATGCTCAAACTTTACAATTATGAAGGTGGTTAATCGAGTTTGTGCTTTCCCGATCTAAAAAGAAACTTGGACGAACATGTCGATTTTGCCACATCAAACCATAGATTGTACTGTAAACACCCAAATAAAGCCACAGGAACACCAGCACAAGCAGCAATGAGTTTTGGCTCCCAACCTATATGACTACTGTAGATCAAAACGAAGGTTGCTGTAAACGCCACGAGCATGATAACTATCGAGACAAACAACATTGTGAGTCCGAAGAATAACTTGGCAGGCAATGACACACGAAAATCATCTTCAGCATAGCGAGATGTGAGAATGGACAAGAACATAATGATGGAAACGATTGAGGTGAATAGTGCCACTGCATCTGATATGACAAAGACTTTGAATCCAATCAAATTTAGCAATATTGGAATGCCATTATCACTGTTATAACCGCCTGGCACAGTGAATCCAGCAGCAAAGACCATTGTGGCAATCAAAGTTGAAACAATCATACAAGAATTTCCAGTGTCTTTCATCCACCTTTCCCCTTCTTTTAGTAATATCTTGTGTTCTTCCGTGAATAATTCTCTAGGGGTTTTCCCATCCTTGTTCTTCCTCTTTTGGTATGAAGGCGGTACAAGTTTCTCCACTTCCTAGCCGATTATTATCATCAGCAAATTAGAATTTTAAAAGCAACGCTAAAAATTGATTCATACTTAATGACAACGTAACAGATGAAATACATATAGTTTTAGGTGATGGATATATCTAGCTCGCTCGCTCTCACCTTGAACCACAATATCTCTCTTTGCATCTGAAGCGCTGCTCCAGAAATCCTAAGAAATGATGGGGGCATAATCTTCTCTTCCTCCTGGTTTAAACAATGATATATAATTAACCGAAACAAGGAAACTTTTTGATATTTCATGTATGTATCGCGAACATATATAGTTTAAAAAGAGAGAGGGAACGAAAAAATATACCTTAACAGCATTAGATTGGACATTTTTCTGTGGCTCCCCTAACTTGCCAGCCAAATGTAGAATGTTATTGCCATCATGATCGAACATTTGAAAAATTATGTTTTTCATTCCTCCTATTCGGTGTATAAGACTGAAGACTTTTTCCTCTCGATATAAAACTGCAACATGGAGAAGGGTATACCCTTTATCGTCGAATGAGCACATGATCTCAGGATAATCACGAGCAACCACAAGTAAAAACCCTAGATTTCCTGCTTTTGCAGCAGAGTGGCCCAATATTTCCTTTGTCACTAGTTCATATAGCTTAATTTGATCCTCTCCACGTCTTTGACACTTCGCCCATAGCTTCTCAAGTAGTAGCCTAGCTTGTTTCTCAACTTCATATCTTTCCGGAAGCAATTTTTGCACTATATATACATGCAGATTAATTAGTATTACATTTCAAGCCAAGAAATGTCTAATTAGTTAATTGATCTTACATTTCAACACTCTCCACACCGGAGAAGAAGCGTCACTGATCGCTATGGACTTTTCAGATAACGTCTTCAACAAATTAATATTTCTGTCTTCTAACATTTTAGTGACTACTAATTTTCTGTCCTTGTTGAATATATTTAATGCTACCTCTGCATGCCATAAAAAAGATCGAATCAACTTGGCCATAGAAATACATACATAACTAGCTAGCTCGTTTATGCATGTGTTGTTAGCATGATAGATAAAAAAAAAGGATCATCAATTGAGGCACTGCCAAAATACCTATGCGACGAGCATATTAGTGATACAGTTTAATAGAACCTCCATTAATAACTACACTCTACAACATTCAATACCTATGCGACGAGCATATATATATATATATATCACATAAGACCTCAATAATTTTTTTATTTTAACCATTCAATTACATATTATAGGAGTAACATTTTCATCTATTATTTCATTCTCTTGAATGAATGAATGTAACGACCTGTTAGTCGTTTTGAGCAGCAGATTTTATTTCTGGAAAAACTGGCTGGGACGACGGAACCCACGAAGGACCGTCATGGGCACGACGGATCGTCGAGGGTGTCTCGTTTCAAAACACTTAGAAATTCTGAAAAATGGATACTGAAATCGACTCTCTGAACTTCGTAACGGAATGACAGGACGGACCGTCACAGGCGTGACGGACCGTCACAGACTCTTCAGAGAATTGAGTCTCTGAACTCTGTGACGGAGCAGCAGGACGGACCGTCGCAGGCACGACGACCCTTCACAGGCTGCGTAATCCCAGGCGGGGTCGGATTTCTTTAAATGTTTTAAGGGGCATTTTGGACTATTCCTGCTATAATTATAAAGTTAGTGGGTTAATATTAATAACTCAATTACTTGGGAGCTAAAAGAGGTAACCTTGAGTAAATTAGTGGGTTATTATTGCCATCTTTTATTCTTAATTATATGCTAATTAGGATAAAAGAAAGAGGGTTTGAATAAGAAAAAGAAAAGAACAGAAAGAGAGGGAGAAGCGTACGATCAAGAGAAAGAAGAGAATAAAGCTTTGGGGAATTTGCTTGCTTGATCACTAATCTTCGGTGGAGGTAGGTTATGGTTTTTACACTATTCGTAGTAAACTCTTAATAGCGAATGATATGTATTGGGTAGTGTTGTAAACCCTTCTATATGCTTAATTGTGTGTTTGCATGTTGTGATTATATAATTGTGATGAGATAAGCATGATGAAGCTATTGAATTCTAAATCTTGAAAAAGAAACCCTAATCTACTTTGTTAATGATGATGCCTTAGTATAAAAGAAGGCTTGATGAATGAAAGTAGTGAGATTAGGGGATCGGGTGCCACGTTCCGGTACCAGGATATTATATGAGGATCGGAGTGTCACGTTCCGACACCAGGATAGTATATTGATCGGGTGCCACATTCCGGTACCAGGATAGTATATGAGGATCGGGGTGTCACGTTCCGACACCAGGATAGTATATGGATCGGGTGTCACGTTCCGACACCAGGATAGAATGAGGATCGGAGTGTCACGTTCCGACACCAGGATAGTATATTGAGGAGCGGAGTGTCACGTATCGACACGAGAGGAATAAAGATAATGAATCTTGAAAGATGTTAATATATTCAATCTAATGAACCTAATTCCCAAATGAGTATGATGAGGAGGCGTGAGTCCTCATTGATGTGCTTGGTGTTGTAACCAAGGGTTATGGTAATTGTAAATGCTGCATGCTAAGGATATTAGTTGATTTTATGATGTTATCTGATATATACTGTTTTCTATTTTGAGTTGGCCGATGATACCTACTCAGTACTTGTGTTTGTACTGACCCCTACTTGTATGTTTTCTTTTTGATTATTTGTGGAGTGCAGCAAACGTGCCGTCGTCTTCAACTCAACCGCAACTCTAGCCAGTCTTCATTATTCCGGATTTCAGGGTGAGCTAATGCTTCTAGCTTGGACTGGATCTTCCTCTTCATGTCTTGATGCCTTGAAGTTCCGACATGGACTAACTTTTTATGTATTCTAGCTTCTAGATACTCTTAGCTTTAGTAATTTGAAGTAGATGTTCTTGTGATGATGACTTCCAGATTTTGGGGATAATAATAATAGTTGTTGAATTTTTAGAAGTTATTGAATGTGTTTTTATTAATGAGTTTAAGTCTTCCGCATTACTTTCTGTTGATATTATATTGAAATGTTAAGGTTTAGATTGATTGGTTCGCTCACATAGGAGGGTAAGTGTGGGTGCCAGTCGTGGCCCGATTTGGGTCGTGACACCTAAATATCTAAATTGTTTGTACTTTGATACCGGAATTCAATTTACAACTTAATTTGATCTTCTCATGTTTATTAAACATGAATTGCATATAAACAATTGTGTTTCTACTTTCCATGATTATCTTATTTTTTAAAGTGTTTTCTATATTTCAAGTTCTTTTTTGATTTATTTTTTATTTTGTACAAGTGTAACAAATTGTAATGAATTGTGACATTTACAAAGCTTTACAATTTGATGTAATTTGCAGAGGTTATCACAAACCTCCACAATAAAACCGCTACAAATTATTATAAATTGCGGCGTTCACAAAACCTCACAAATTGGTGCAATTTGCGGAGGTTATCGCAAAAGCTACAAAATGATTTTATAGTGGAGTTTTTTAAAACCCCACAAATAAACCTCTGCAAATTAGCTTGTTTTTATGCATTTATTGTATATATTAATGTAATTAGATAGTGATATAAATTAGCATGATCATATACATTTGTTGTAGAATCAAATGAATAAATATTGTGATAAAATAACTGATTCGGAGGGATAGGAAGGCAAAATTAGAGGGATTGAATATTATATTTGTAGGGATAGAATAGCTGATCTTTAAGGATAGGAATGACAGATCTTTAGAGATGTTTAATCTTTATTCTCTCTATATAATGGAAAAACTCTCACTTTGAAGACATTCAACAGAAAATTTAGTGGGTATCAACGCCTTCTCTTGGCTGTCTTGTTTGATAGATTCCTCCGTGGTTTCTTCTAAGATTTTTTTTTGGAAAATCTTGATTTTTGGTTGACTGTTCATCGACAATCAGTCTTACCAATTTTGTTCTTGGTCATTCTAGTTGCTTTCCTGAGTCTTTGTAGTTTTCATAGCTATCAAAAACATAAATGCACATTATTTTGAATCCTTTAGTGTTTGTTTCACTGGAAATAATTATTTTTTTTGGAGTTTTAATGTCACATATTTGTCACAAGCAAATTAAAGAACTATGGGGTCATATAGATGGAAACGATCCCGCTTCTATAGATGCAACAAAGCTAGGTGAATGGAAGACTAAAGATGCTCGGGTGTTGACATGGATTTTAGGGTCAATTGAACCTCCGATTGTTCTTAATCTCAGGCAGTACAAGACAACTAAGGTCATGTGAAATTACTTACAAATGTTTACAACCTAGATAATAGCTCAAGACGCTTTCAGTTATAGTATAAAATTTCTAATTACTCTCAAGGAGGTTTTTTTGTTCAGGATTATATTTCCGGATTTCAGAACTTATTGGCTGAATTTACAAATATTGTCTATGTCAAAATACCTACTATATCTCTACCAGTGATTCGGGCAGTTCATGAGCAAAGCAAGCGAGACCAACTTTTGATGAAATTACGCTCTGACTTTGAGAGTGTTCGCTCTAACTTGATGAATCACGACATGTCTCCCTCTTTAGTTGTCCGCTTTAGGAAATTACTTCGTGAAGAGAAACGTCTTGTCACATAAAATGCTTTCAAGAAAGAAAATGATGTTATTGTTGCATTTGCTGCTCAATTTAAAGGCAAGAGCTAGAATATGAGTAAAACTCAATGCTACAGTTGCAAGGTTTATGTTCATATTGCTAGCAATTGTAGCAAGAAGTTCTGTAATTATTGTAAACAACAAGGACACATCATCAAAAAGTGTCCCACGCGCCCTCAAAATCATAGGGTCAATGCTTTCCAAGCTGGGATAAATGGTTCCACTAATGATAACTCATCTTCAAGACAAGTACTTACTCTTGAAATGGTACAACAAATGATTGTGTCACCTTTTTCATTATTGGAATTACAAGGTAATGATGTTACATCTAATTTTTGGATTATTGATTCAGGTGCTTCCAATCATATGACTAACTCAACGAGCATCCTGAAAATGTTCGTAAGTATCAAGGTCCATCACAAATACAGATTGTCAGTGATAGTAATTTACCCATTATCAAGGTTGGGGATATTACTCCAACTTTCAAGAATGTTTTTGTTCTAGTTTCATTTTAGTAAAACAACTGGTATATAACAATTGTGATGTAAATATTTCTCGTAATGATTGTCTTGTGCAGGATCAGGTGTCGGAGACGTAATCATGAAGGGGCCTAAAGTTAGACGATTGTTTCCTATACACTTTTCCATGCCTCCTGTTTTATCTTTTGCTTGTACTTCCAGTACTGCTAGCAAGACTGAGGTTTGACATAAGCTTCTAGGACATCCAAATTCTGTTGTGTTGTCTCATTTATCAAATTTTGATTTATTGGGAAATAAAAATCAGTTTTCATTTCTACTTGTAAATTATGCAAAAGTAAAACTCTTTATTTACCTAGATTTGGTAGTCATGCTACTAAGTGTTTAGATGTCATTCATAGTAATGTTAGGGGCATTTCACCAATTATTTTTCATGATCATTTCAAATACTTTGTGATATTCATAGATGTTTATAGTCGATTTACATGAGTGTATTTTGTTCGATCAAATTGAGGTATTTTCTATGTCTAAGACATTTTTGGCTTACGTTGAGACACAATTTTCTACATGCATCAAATTATTAAGATATGATTCTGGTAGGGAATATATGTCTTATGAATTCAAAAGATTCTTGTTTGACAAAGAAATTGTCTCACAACACTCTTGCCCATATACATCACAACAAAATGGAGTTGCTAGACGAAAAAATCTCTATCTTTTAAATGTCACTCGTACTTTATTGATTGAGTCATCTGTACCTCTAAATATTGGGTGGAAGCTTTGTCTACTGCTGTCTATTTAATTAATAGAATTCCGTCTAAAGTGTTAAATCTTAAGTCTCCATATTTTCGTCTTTATTATC